TTCCGGCACTCATTCAGCCAGGAGGAGGCAGGAGAAGTGAGAGGGTAAGTTGCTTCCTCCCTAACTCTCCCCACCCCTGCCTGCCTGGGGCCAGGGAGGGCCTTCGCGGGGCTTCCTTGCACTCCCACCAGCCTTGCAGGTCCACCGCCGGGCCCCTCATGGGGCTCGGCAGTGGAGCTGCAAGGCCGGCGGTGGCGGCGGCCGGGACCGTTGGGGGCGGGGTGTGTGGCCTTATGACACACTTCCGGTGATGTCAGGGGGTGTGGCCTCATGACACACTTCCGGTGATGTCAGGGGGTGTGGCATATGCTAATGAGTTATGCTAATGAGTTCCCCTAGCTCTTTTTCTATGAAACGACCCCTGCTCCAGGGAAACTGATCTCTGTAGTCTGGAGATCAATTGTAATTCTGGGAGGACTCCCAAGTCCCACCTGGAGGCTGGCAAGCCTACTCAATGGCTGTTCCCAGGAATTTAATACTTATGCTCACATGGTGACAAAAGAATTGATGAAGATTGCAAAGCAGGCAGATGTGCGGAGAATTCAATAACCAGCTGTGTGTTTAGAATGAGAATTCACTCAGCAGTCAGTAACACCTTTAATGCTGATACTGAAAGAGTTCAGCTGAAAAAGTGGCACCAAAGCCCAGAGGCATAGCCTCTTCACAGCCCTAGGCCGTAAATCCCTAGACTTAAAAACAACTCAGATGGAACCCATGGGAATTAATGCTATGGCTCTATTTTTGGAAGATTTCCCCATTAATATGGTGGTCATAAATGCTTGTTTTCTTCCCAGTTTAACTTCCAGTGATTTCGATGAAACGTGGTTCATAGGAGGAACATATGGAGTATAATAAATGAATACATAATAAATGTGAAGAATAATTATCCTGTGGCCCCTGTATTATTGGCTGGGGATTTCAATGCCCAATTAGGAGCTAGTGATAAGCAATTGTTTAAAGTGAACACTTTTAGATTGTCAAATCAAGGTCAGTGGCTTCCTGGTATATGTATCTCAAAAAATGACACAGTTGGTGATGCTGGCATTGTGCTCAGAAAATCTTGAGATACTCATGGGTTGGTTTTATTCAATGGGAATAGTGGTTGGCCCTGCAGGTTTTATATTTGTTCCTAAAGATGGTTCTGGTGTTCCCTACGGTCAAGCATGTCCTCCACTTTTACCTATGGGTAACTTAAGCATGTGTGCCATTGTTTCCAGTGGGTCCCCCATTGTTCCCTTTGGGCAAGCCTGTCCTCCATTTTAACCTATTGGCAAGCATCCTCACCATTGTCCCCTATTAGAAAGCATGTCCCCCATTGTTTCCTATGGGTAAGAATGTCCTCCATCTATATATCTAATTCCGAAGTCGCCCCCTGGTGTGCGGATACTTATTTCCGCACATTGGGGGAACCTGGAGGGGAGGGAGATGTTTGTGCACACTTGGGGCAGTCCCCAGGTGTGCACAAAAATCTAAAACCCCGGCAAAAATATCGGGGGGATACTTAAATCCACCCAAAAGTGACAGAGTGTCCCCTGCGCATGCGAACTCCCTCGCCGCTGCAGCTTCGGTGGGAAGAGAGCAGCGAGGCGAGCGGCGAGCTGGGAGGGGGGGGAAGAGCAGCGAGAGCCGAGTGGCTCGCCACTCGGCCCTCGCTTCGGAGCCGGGGGGGAGGGAGAGAGAGCAGCAAGGGTCGAGTGGCTCGCCGCTCAGCCCTCGCTTCGGAGCCGGGGGGGGGGAGGCCCGAGGGGGGGGGTCGAGGGGGGGGGGCTTGTTTTAACCTATTGGCAAGCATCCTCACCATTGTCCTCTATTAGAAAGCATGTCCCCCATTGTTCCCTATGGGCAAGATTGTCCTCCATTTTAACATATGGGCATCCATGCCCACCATTGTCCCCTATGGGCAAGCATGTTGTACATTTTAACCTATGGGCAAGCATGTTCCCCATTTTAATCTATTGGGAAGTGTGTCCTCCATTTTAACCTAAGGGCAAGCATGTCCCCTACTGTTCCCTTTGGGAAAGCACGTCAATTTTATTACCCCAGACATTTTATTGATTTTATATATGTGTGCTTCATCCTGGTCACTAAGGTGATCTTTTACTGCTCCTGGTTTTAGTGTTTAGATTTTAATCCAATTCCAATTTCCAATAACCTTTATTGGCATAACGATAACTTTAAAAAGAAAGAATAACAGTACAAATCAGCCCATATATCAACAAAGAGAAACAATACGAGTACAGCAGTTTGTAACATTGTATATAGTAAAGACAATGGGGCAAAGTGGTAAAATTCGGAACAGTAATCTCAAGTATCGCAGTGATTAAAACAGTTACAGTTACAATAAGAAGCTTAACTATCGGAAAAGGATAGATACACCTTATCTCTCTTACTCTCCACCTCCTTACCTCTTCCTCTTCCCTCTTTTCTTAGTTATCATTTTCTTATCATTTTCTTAGCTATCATTTTAATCCTTTGGTTTTAGATGACTGATTCTCTGTTCTTATTGTATGCCACAGCCTGAATTTGTTTTATACAATACATTGCTTTTCTATTTTCTGGTATACATTTTAATAACTGTGCTTGTGAGCTCTCTCAGGCATCTTTTAATAAAGAGTAGTATATGTAGATGTTCTAATTAAAGAGCAGCCAGGGAAGAAATGTGGGGCTTTGAAAGGGACTGAAACAACATACAACTGACTGTTTGCCCACTCATAATGTTTAATGTATAAACTCTGATTAGGAAAACTTTTATCATTATCCTAGTTCTGCAGCAGACAAACCTTGGCTAAGGGACCAGTGCCCCACGTTATAAGGTAGCTTCATACTTTCAGCATAAAATATGGCAAAGGTTATGTTTGTACATGTTCCAAAAGAGCACCCCTAACACTGAAAAGGTCTTCTAAACCTTCAACAGATTGTTTCAGAGAATAATCTGACAACAATGAACGCTAGAAACTTGCTGTTTAAAAAAGAAATGCTCAGGCTCTCTGGGCACTTTTAAGTAGCAGATATTTGTGTTTGCAAGTGGAAAAAAAGATACGTTACATAAGTTAGAGTTGACCATTGGTCTTTGGAGCAGTCTGGCCAGATTTCTTGACACCATACTGCTTTTAACAGTCTGTTCCTCATCTTTTCATCATTCATAATGCACACTATGAAATATAGCCAAAAAGATAATTTAGAAGGCTTATCAAGTTGGAAGGTCATTGCTATGTGTTAGAGTGGGGGGACGGGGACACAAACAGTTCTTTAACTCACAGCAGCAAAATAACAATTGTTGGTGCTTGTATGTGGTCCCAGTGTTTTCAGTTTAAAAAAAATCAGAATGGGACAGCTTTTAAGTGGAGTTTGGTCCAGCACGCTAGGGTTTAAGGGCTGAATCCAATTGCAAACTTAACATTAGTTTAAAAACAGGTACCAGGAAAGAGAGAAACTCTGCTTCCAGGTGCAAGGCTTATCTAAACCAAGGCAGCTTATTTGGAAAGGGCTTGGGAGCACAATCTACTGGAACTTTTGCACAAACTTTATTGAAAGGCAGAGGAGCACAGAAAGAGGTCCGTGCCTGGCTGTATCCTTTTCCTCATTTTCAGAAAACTGCAGGCACACCTGCACTGCAATGTGGCCTGAAACCAATTTAATAGTCATGGCCACATAATGTGTTTTGTAGGATTCTCGGAAGGCTGTGTACCCTAGCTGAACGAATTAGACTTCCTAGGGCCTTTCAAAAGCCAAGACCAGTTTATATTTATACTCTATACCTAAGCGATGAAGAGTTTGTTACAAATGTCCTCTTGCCTGAATTGTGTATTTAGGTAGTCAGCACTTTTAAGTCAAGACTGGGCATGGGCTTGAAAGGACATAGAGGCCAAGTGTTTTGAGGACAGGCGCAATCAGTCATATGTGTCTAGCAATTGCAGATATACTGTCCATACGACATTCCCGGTGGCAATGGAGTCTGGACCAGGAAGTGGGCTGCATTTCCCCCTCAACAATTACAGCTTGGGGGCTAGGAAGCCAATTATCCAGTATTCAAAGTGCTACCGTGTGTGTGCGCACAGTAAGGAAGCCATTCAGACTGCCTGCAATTCACTAAGCAATACAACCAGGGCTATGTTTTTCTGAATCCAGTTTTTCACAAGTCGGAACTACTTTCAAAGGTGTTTCTACCTGCAGCCTTTCAGTGGGCATCCCAGTAAGTTGCACACCAAGCATAGTGTTTATTTTCCTAGTTTGTGAACACCCAGGACACTAGTCTGTCATTGGTTTCTGTATTCCAGCACAGCAGTCCCCAACCTTTTTGGTACGGTGACCCACAAGTAAAACTTTATTTGGTACGGTGACCCACTTAGGGCTGGTCCAAGATTTTTTGGCACCCTAGCCAAGTTATGACCTTGGCACCCATCTAGTTCAGCATACCATTTTCTACAGTGGCTAACCAGATGTTTTTGTGAAACCAACAAATATCACACAGAGGACCCAGCTGCCCCTGCTATGAACCCCAAGCAAGTGGCATTCTGACACACACAGCCGTTGCATATGAATGTTACATTCCAGCCTCTGACCACCCTTTCCCCTCTCCATCACTCTGTCTAACCCCCCCCCCCCCCCCCCCCCCCGATTCTAAGAAACTCATGCTAGTAACCATCAGGGCATGTTTTACTTGATCAATGTGTATATGCAGTGAAGGAAAAAAATACCATCTGTGTGACATAGAATATACTGTTTCCAGGGTCAAATCTTGGTTTCCAAAATACCAAAGAGACCAATGGAAAGGCCATGGGCAGCCATTATGGAGGGCTGGCCCATGATCCTCTCTCAGAGGGTTTGTGACCCACAGGTTGTGAAAGACTGTTCCAGAGCATCTTTAACTCCAGTGGTGCCCCCTAGTGTAAGCCTCCATTTTCCACTTTTGGTATGCCATTTTTGCAAGCCCTTTTTCAGCAACAGCAAAGTGAGACACGTGCCATCTTTAAAGGAAGCAGCTTTATTAGACATGGATGTATAGACAGCCAAACACCAACCGCATATTTCACATGTAACTTTCCGTGCAAAACCCTCAGACCCCCTCTCCCAGCAGGCTAACTGGGACCACCCGTGGCCTCTTTGTGCTGCTGAATAAAGTAGGTAGACAGTTCGTTCAGGGCTTTGTAACGGTGAGAGATGGAGTTCTTCACAGACTTGGGCAACTCAGCATACCTGTGAAGGGCCAGAGAAAGGAACACTCTCATGTGAAGCTGGGATCTCTTGAAAGCTCACTAACTCATATACAGTATTCTATAATACAAGAATTTTACATGGCAGCACTGAACCTAAATCTAGGCCCCCCACAAGCTTAAAAACAATTCTGTTATGCATCCTGTGTTTCCCTTTGGAAATCTTAGTACAGAACACATGGTGTGTCTGCACTGCCAACAGTCCAATCCTAAACAAAGTTACACCCTTCTAAACCCAATTAATTCAATGGGATTTTAAAAAGGTAAAGGTTTCCCTTGCTTGAAAGCCAGTTGAATCTGACTCCAGGGAGCAGTGCTCATCTCCGTTTCCAAGCCGAAGAGCCAGTGCTGTCCGAAGACTTCTCCGTGGTCATGTGGCCGGCATGACTAAACGCCGAGGCGCACGGGATGCTGTTACCTTCCCACCGAAGCAGCACCTATTTATCCACTTGCAATTTCTTGCTTTCAAACTGCTAGGATGGCAGGAGCTGGGGCCAGAGACGGGATCTCACTCCGTCACGCAGCACTCGGGTCTCAAACTGCTGAGCTACTGACTTTCCGGTCTGTAGTTCAGCGTCTTAACCACTGAGCCACCGCAGCCCCTTCAATGGGATTACACGGGTGCAATTCTTCTTAGGATTGCTTTCCAAGTGTTACAGTTATCCTCTCAACTGTTGTTCGGCTAAGGCAAGAGAATCTAGGATCTTCGTTAAAAGATAAGCACATTTTACGGGGCAGAACTGGCATTTCCCTGGAACAGAGTTTGCCTCTTCCTAGAGGATGCAAGCACACAGACTGGCCCAGGTTATCCCTTGTAAGCAATTGTGATGGTTTAAAACTGCAAAACAAACCAGCAAACCACTTACGTCTGGTCATATCCCTCTGGCTGGAAGCAGGGATCCCATCCAAAGTCTCTGGGTCCCCGTGGGTCAACTATACATCCCTGTATGTGGATGCATAAAGGGAAAGATCTTGAGAGCCAGGTTATGCTTTACAGTCACCACTTCACAAAGTGATGTACGCTAGCCTGTGACTGTTGACAATTCTGAAGCCTCCACCAGTCCTCAGAAACCCTCTGAGAAAGCAGGGGTGGATAGCAGGCAAATTCACAAGGAAGCAAGAAATACTGCCCCCTCCCATTTCTTCATTCATTTATTTCCTCTTCAGATCAATTCCCCCTGCTCCTTTTCTCTTCATCCCCTAGGGGAAAACAATCTTGAAAAGAAAAACAGGAAAAAAAGGTCCTTCCCCTGTGCATTGATCTGTTCCAGTTTCTCATCTGGTGTCCCAGCCACAGATTCGGAATGCTAAACCGCAGTAGCCTAGTTTAAATGTGTCTGGCTGCTTCAGCCCAGCTCTTGGGTGTAATAGAGAACAAAGTTCTAAAGTCTAGCTTTGGATCCAAGACAGTGCCTTTCAATGTTCCCTCTAAGCTGTGGAGTCTTGTGAGCAAAAATTCTACTTTGTGAGCTACTGGAATTAAAGTTGTGAGCGAGCGATTTGGCTCCTGGATACATTAGTTTGCTCTGGGGCCATCCTTCCTGAGCTAGGACGAAAATGTGTGAGCTGGAGGCTAAAAGATTGTGAGCTAGCTCACACTAACTCAGCTTAGAGGGAACACTGGTGCTTTTCCTTGGCCTCCTACAGATTATAACCTACATAATCCAGAGGGACAGTAAATTTCTTAAACAGCGAGGGAGAGACCAAGCAACATGCAACAGAAAGGCATGGGGCACTGCCTACCCCAACAGGAGCAATACAAATGGGCCAGGTGAAATTATGCCAGAGGTCACTGAAACCATGGCTTCTGGGAAGTATCCAGAAATGCAGCCTTAAGTGTATCATCTTGGTCTGCTGCATCTGCATGTCTGAGTGCATAAGATGCCCTGGGGAAGGTTTTAATTGGGTCCCCCCCCCCAGCCTTCTCTTCCCGCCCACTCTGTCCCTTCTTTTGCTGGAGCTACCATAACCAATGCTCCTTCTAAGTTGTGGAGTCTTGTGAGCAAAAATACTACTTTGTGAGCTCCTGGGATGAAAGTTGTGAGCCAGCGATTTGGCTGCTGCATAAAATAGTTTGCTTTGGAGCCATCTTTCCTGAGCTAAGACAAAAATCTGTGAGCTGGAGGCTAAACAACTGTGAGCTAGCTCACACTAACTCAGCTTAGAGGGAACACTGACCACAACCCCACAGCATTCAGCATCTTTCTCCACCCCCAGGGGAAGACAAGTGTGACTGCAGTTGTTGAGCAGCTACATTAAACTCTGCTCTGCTATCCTGGAAGAGGCTCCTTCCTCGCAACTAAGAGGGCAGCCCCTTGTTAGGTTCTGCAGTAGTCCAGCAGCTAAGCTACGGATCAAAGTCCAGGATGGTAGCTGAGAGACTGAACTGGGAACTAGGAAGTCCTTGAGTGACATCTCACCTTTGCTATGAATTCATCAGTTGATTTATTAAACATCAATCTCCCCATCTGCAAAAGGAGAATAATAATTCTAGCCTCCTTTACAGGGCTGTTGGATTATGAAAACTGCCTGACCAAACAGCAATAAAAATGCTAAGCATTACTGTTATGTTGGCCACGAGTGTGGCTGCCCAGCAACTTCCAGTCCTGTGTCTTCTGCAGGGCAAGTGTCAGGAAAGAAAGGCTACTTTGCCCAGCAGGCAGACGTGCCCTGTCCCATTCTTCTCTCGCTCAGATGCACCAAAACCATTGGGTGGTGGTAGAGGGCACAGGCATCTGGTACTCACATGAGTCTGACCTTTGAATAACTTCACCGGGTCCCCTGGATTCCCAGTGCTGAAGGCAAACGTGCAGAGGGCATAAGCAGTCTTATCTTCAAATCCTGCCAGCAGTTTGTACAGACCTAAGCCACAGGAAGAGGGGTGTCAGAAGACTTCTTCAGGAATATTATTAATAATTATCATATGGCATTGTGTGTATAATAGCCAGATCTTGCCTGGCAGCCAGAAGTTCTAGCTGTTTTAGTGTTACGCACCACTAGGTGATGGAGCTAGACTTGTGTTGTTGTTTTTTAAGGCAAAAGACATTTCAGAGATGGTTTGCCATCGCCTGCCTCTGTGTCACAACCCTGGTATTCCCTGGAGGTTGCCCTTCCAAATACTAGCCAAGGCCGACCCTGCCTCATAGATTGTTTTCATTCTTGGTGATACCATCTCTAAATTTAATCTTCCCTAGATTAAGGTCAGGCATGTCTCCGGTACTATCTAGGGACGCTTGACCTGTCCTGATAACCCAAAGTCAGTAATGGTTTGTGATGCTTTTAGGGGAAAGGGTCTGCTTATTGTAACATGTATAGCATTCTTCATTGACACCCACCTTAGCAACGCATAATAACAGAAAGGTATAAAAGACGGTAAAATTAGGGGGAAGGGGCTGCCTTTCTATCTGGCAGCCCAGAGATCTCTGATAAAGGTGTACACTATACTGTTATCTGCTCTAAGCAGTCCCCCCCCACACACTGTGTTGCCTAGCTGAAGAACCAATAAAGTAAACTTTAGCACAAGCTTCTGTCCGTGTCTCTTGCCCACAGAGCCAGTCCCTCGCCGGTCTACATCCAGCTCAGAAATCCTGAAAATAATTTCCCCCCCTAACACAGGCACAAAGGGGATGCATCCTGGACTCTTCTGAAACACCTCCTGCTGCCGTTAGGGGGAGGAAAGCTAGGAATAGCTATTCGCTTTGGGAAAGAGGCATATGAGGTCAAGAAACCCGTCAGCTAGCACCATGGAACCTACGGTACCATGCTGGGAATCACTGGTTTATTGGAAAAGAAAAGCGCAACCCCTTAGAATTAAAAATAGGGAGGAAATGAAGAGCAGGAAGGTGATGGGACTGGTGGCACAACTAGAACTTCTGCGGATACAGAGCTGGCTTTCCAGCAGGAAGTCTAAGCAGAGTAGCGCACGATGAGAAACTTCCGAAACAACCAAGCAATCCAAGAGAGCGTCCTTATTGCAGCAGCAAAGCAGTATGTACACCCACAGGCTGAATTACCTTCTGGTTTCAGCTTCTCCAGAAACCATTTGCTGAAATGAAAAGACACACATCATTTTCTTCATTCCATCCAATGTCATTCCAATTGCAAGGAAGTCTAAGCAATTTCTGTCCACCCGCCAGAAAGGACTCCTTGCTCTTGTTCATTTCGGAGAGGCAGGTTCAATAGACCATTCTTGTCAGCTGTGCCACAGCAATACCAAGAAGCCCACTGGATTGTCAACACAGCCAAAGAGATTAGAGACATTGTCCACCCCCTACTCTTATCAGTTCTGCCCCCACCCCCCGATGTTGGGAGTAAAAACAAAGCCAGATGGGCTACTGGGTTTCCAGGTGCTCAGATCTGCAGTCTTCAGGCAGCAAAACGAAGCTGAATTTAAACTGACTCCCAACTTGGTGAAGTTTGCAAATTCTTCTCTAATGCCACCAGTATCAATGGAATACTTGAATTTTTGCCTTAGCTGGTCTATTGCTTTGCAAGACATCCAGGAAATCCAAGGAGAAGTCCAGATGGAGGTGTGCCTAATGGGGACTACGTTGTCTTGGAATTCTTTCTCCACTTTCTCCCCCAAAGTTAAAACACGAGCCCAAAGCTAAGTCTGAGCACGGCCCTTCCGCTACACCAGGCAGTGTTCAAAGGTCAGCCCCCCTCTGCAGTCTATACAACCTAGAGGCCGGTCAACCACTTAAATGCAAATAAGCATTATCATCCTAGACCATCCGTGCACAGAAATTTTCCTGCATTCCTCTGCATTGCTGCAGCCCCTTCTGACTCCAAGAAAGAGCATTCCTGGGGTTGCACGGTCCATGAAGAGAAACAACCGTGTGGGTTGGCGGGATGGAGGGATGAGATGAAACCCATCCTTTTTCTTAGCAAAACTGTAGCACCCTCAATCTGTTGGATATTGTAACTCTGCATGCAAGAGGATTTGGGAGGGAACCTTGCTTGTCTTAAGTCATCATCTTATACAGGACCTCTCTTCTTCTCTCTCTTACCTGGGCTTCAAGCTGTAGCAAGTTAACCTTTTTGAAGATAATCTGCTCACATTAAGTTAAATGTACCTACATGAATATGTCATGCAAGATGTGTAAGAGCCAGTTTGGTGTAATGGTTAAGTGCACGGACTCTAATCTGTAGCTCTGATAAGAGCTGTCCTTGAAAAAGAGCAGTTTCTGTCAAGAGCTCTCTCAGCCCCACCTACCTCACAGGGTGTCTGTTGTGGGGAGGGGAAGGGAAAAGATTTTGTAAGCCGCTCTGAGACACCTTTGGGTAGTGAAGGGCAGGGTGTAAATCCAATCTCTTCTCTTCTTCTTCTTCTATTTTTGTAAGTAAAATTTCTTTCTCTTGTTGGAGCCCGATCATCTTTGTAATTTGTTTGAGCATCATTTTCCCCTTAACCTGGAAACGTGGAGAATCGGGGATCCTGTGAAAAAGCTTCTGTGCTTCCAGGGCATATGATATTTTTTGAGGAGGGATGAGAAGATGAAACCCACCCTTTTCCTGAGCAAAACTGCAGCATCCCCAACCCACATACCTGTTCCTCTGCAGGGGTCCCATGGCTCTGAGGAATGCAGAAAAACTCCATTTTCTGTGCACAGGGTGGTACAGTACTGCCCAATATTTTCAATACTATACCCTTCCATTTAGCTTTTAGAATGACCACTACCAGCAGCAAATCCATTTTCCTTTCTTTCCCTCTCTCCTACTCCCTGCTCCAAGTGCTGCTCGAAGTGACAGAACAGCAAAGATTGGGCAGATGGCACAGACAGAATTCAAACAGCCTGATTAAATGCATTTTTTTTAAAAAAGATGTCAACTATGCTCTGGGCAAGTGACTCAACTCCTACTTACATATATGGCCCTGGGAGTCCTCCAAGGGCATTGAAACACAAACAGGTGTCTTCTACTATAACTGGTCCTTGGACCTTTTAAACAGAATACAGAAAAGGTATCACAAGCAAACGGAGATGAAGAGCTCCTAGATTAGATTACAGAATTCCTTAGGCTCTCTATGCCTAGTAAGTAGGTTTATCAGTTCCATGTTGAGAAATACCTGGAAATTGGGAGGGTGGAGCCTGGGGAGTGGAGGGACTTCAATGAGGTATAATGCCATGGGACCCCCCCCCCCCCCTTCCAAAGCGGCCATTTTCTCCAGGTGAACTGATCTCTGAAGATCTCCAGCTACCAGCTGGAGGTTGAAGCCAAAGGTGAGAGATCACAGGAGGAGGTGGAAGTCCAATCAAAACATCCGTGACAAAAAATGATGAAGAGTCAACATGGGATGTTTATTTTAAGAGTTGATAAGTGGAAATTGCTAAGAATTGTAATTGCTACACGCTCAGATAACGCAATCTATGTGAAATGGGTATTTGTTATTGCACAAAATCCATTGCATGTGAGCAAAAATAGAAGAGATTGTTATAGAGAATCACTACTAAACAATTTCGTATATATATTTTTATTGACTCTTCGTCATTTTTGTCACAGATGTTTTGATTGGACTTCTACCAGCTGGAGGTTGGCAACCCTGCTAGCAGGGAATGAAAGACATGATCAGAAAAAGGCACCTGCTTTGCTGCTTCTTGGCACTTCTGGATAGAAATATCATCAGGCTCCCCTTGGTACTCGGGCACTGCAGAAAGCAAAGATGGCTGACGTCAATACAGAGCCGCAACGGCGAGCTAATTACAGACTATGAAGGCAGGCACTCACAGTCTATTTTCTTTGCAACCAGTCTGTATGGAAAGGAGTCCCCTAGGATCTGAATCACCTGCAAAAGAGGAGAGAGAGAGGTTGCCAGGCTGTAGGACTGATAAGGAGTCTGCAATGAAGTGGAGAAGTCTCGCCTGGATGGATCTTCCCTGCCACAAACAGTAGCTCCCATCCCCACTGGCTGGGCCGGCCAGTCTGTACACCAGTGTTTCCCAACCGGTGCATGAAGACTCCGAGTGGATTGCGAAGCCTCTGAAACTGTTCTCTTTTGTATTTTGGAAACGTAGATCTGACCTTGGAAACAGTATCTTACATTGGGGTTTTTTTCTGGTTGATAAAAGTAAAACATTTCCTGATGGTTACTAGGCTGACACTGCAATCCTTAAGAGAATTAGTCCAGTCTAAGCCCATTCATTTCAGTGGTCTTAGACTGGAGTAACTCTCTTTAGGATTGCACTGTGAGTTTCTTAGAATTGGGGGAGGGTGTTTAGAGGGAGTAGTGGAGAAGGACAGAGTGGTCAGAGGCTGGAATGTAACCTCCATATGCCAATGCTGTGTATATCAGAATGTAACGTGTGGAGATCACAGTGGGGGCAGCTGTGTTCTCTGTGTGATATTTGTTGGTTTCTCAAAAGCATCTGATCAGCCACTGTAGAAAATGGAATGCTGAAACTAGATAGGTGCCAAAGGTCATAGCTTGCCACTGCCAGGGTGCCAAAAAACCTTGGGCTAGCCCTAAATGGGTCACCATGCCAAATAAGTTTGGACTTGTGGGTCACCGTACCAACCTAGACAAGACAGCAACATGTATTTTTAGCCCAAGTACAAGCAGGACTCCCATCCACTGGAAACAAGGTGGCTCCACAATCTCAAATATGAGCCAGTACAAGAAAGAGCCTCAGTCAGCGTATTATTGCACACCAAAAGGTAAAGAGGTAAACAGTCTGTGATCCTGGGTGAGAATACCTGGGTCTGAATTCCACCTCTTAAATCTCAGACAGGGTACCTTTGCATACATCTGTGCTATAGCCCATTAGTGACATTTCGATTTGTTTTGTTTCTGATCTGTTGTTAGCCCTTATGGTTTCTAAGTTTCTTTTTCACAGTTGCAATACCCTTTGCACAAAGCGCAAAACAACAACAAAGAGAGACAGGCTGACGATCTGTACGTAATTAGATATAGCAAAATTTAAGTTCTGTGTTTACCTACATAGCACGCTTTCAAACCAATGTTTGCACTGATGATCCCATCTGGGCTGATATCATCGAAAAGAGCAATGTAACACACCGCAATAGGATATCAGTTTGATTTCCACTTTACACTGCAATTATAGCTTCCTGTTCTAAATGAGTGCAAGAATAGCTTTACACTGAAATTGTGTTTTATTATAAAGCGATAATTACTACTCTACACTGCAATTACAAATGGCTTTTATGGATTAAGGCAAGTATAATTATTTGGTCTGCGCCCATCCCTTCTATTTAGGGGGATGAGGAGCCAACCCTACCACTCTCCCCACCTCCTCCAGTTTCTTCGCATTGCCGGTGACGAACACCACGCTTCTCCCGGCAGCCGACATTCTCGCTCTCGCCGTTCTGCGCAAGTGTGCATGCTCAGCCAATCACAAAAAAGCGGCTTCCCCCGCCCACCTTTCCTAGCCAGTGACAGCACGCAGTTTTTTAGTATTTTGCTACGACTGGTTTCTGAGGCCACTATTTACAGGCGGACTCGAGTCCATTGGCGGGAGGTAAAAAGGCGGGAGGTAAAAATTGGCCAATGACCTTCGAGGATAGCGGGCGAGCAGTGAATAGTGTGGTGGGGAAGGTGGAGAGGGAGATAGTAGTTCCGGCATATTTCTCTCTGGCGGAAGCCACGCTTCTGGTCCTGGGAGCAATCGCCATGGAGGGGCTGCGCTTGCTGCCGAGACGCGCACAGGAGTTCGGTTCCGCCGGCTACTGGGAGCGTTTCTTCCGCGAGCGAGGCGAGCGCGCCTTCGAGTGGTACGGCGAGTGGGAGGAGCTTCGTGAGCCCTTGGAGCGGTACCTGCGCCCGCGGGACTCGGTGAGACTGGATAGGCGACGAGGAGGCCGGAGCGGGGGATTCAAATAGGGGCCGTAGGAAGAGTTGGAGTAAGCGAGGATCAGGACATGCTCATGCTATTCACTGTGTCCTGGAAACACAATGCAACTGCAGAAAATTCGATAAAAGTGTATACAGTATATTGTAACTGTTCCAACAAATGTTGCATAAACCCCGGTGTATACAATTTACAAAATGATTTAGAACACAAGTGTTGTATGCAGTAGGGAAATAAATTGTCATTTATGAAAAGTCAGCAGACTTCCTATCACAAAACATGAGCCTTACACCTGGACCCCCAGGGAATACATTTATGCACTGTGCACCCCAAGAGGTCCGGTAAACTCAATAGCATCAGTCTGCCTCTTTCTTTGATCCACGTCTTCTTTACGGGCGAGCCGTGTTTTGTCAAAGCTTGATCACAGAAGACCACCTTTCAAAAAGTCTTTCTGTAAATGAATAAAATAACTCTGGAATAATCATTTTTACCATATGATGCAATAGGAACTCATGAGAATATTTTCTAAATATACCTGCATAAATACTCACTTTTCGTGATATTTACTGTGTCCTGGCAGCCATGCTATGCTTAATCAGAAATAAGTTTCATAATGTTCATAACATTCAACAGAGTTATTCTCAAGTAAAGTAGCGCAGAATGTATGGTTTAAAGCAGTTAATAAATGTGCTTCCAAGGGTACATATGGTTGCACAAACAATCAGGAGTCTAGTGGAACCTGTGAAGGTTTATGCTAGAATAAAAATTGTTGGTCTTTTAAGGTACTGCAGGACTTCTGTTTGTCAAAGTTTTGTGACTTCCGTTCCAGGTTTCCAGTTGTTGCACTACTTTTATTTTATTTTCTGCTTGCCCATTGTTGATTGGGCAAGGTTTATTAGTTTTTTAAAGAGTTATATATATATATAAAAGAGAGAGCCATACACTTCAAAGCCATTGCCTCATTCATAACATCTTTAGAGACATAATTCCCTTTTTCCCTTTGTTAATCTATAGTCCACAACAGATGACATTAAGTAAAATTCTGTTCCCAATAAACAATTCATTTTTCTATATCCTACCTGCTATTACTATTATTAATCAATTTTATAACAATAAAAATATAAAAGAAAAAAAAACACACAGGTATATCACAGCAGTTAGACAGTTCAAATTTCTTATATAATATCAATCTAGTCCCTTTAAGATATTCTTTCAAAATTTCAAAAAGTATTGTTAGCTTTCAAAATCTCCGTTTGCAAACCTAAACGTAGTACAATATCAGCTCTCAACTTTACAGTGCCAATATACTTTCACCTCACACTATATACCGGTAGATCCCTCTTTTCTCTCACAACACTTAGGGTCATTACACCTTCTCTAGGTAATTAGCCTATTACTTTTATTTTTCCCTACAAGGCCCACTTTAAGAGCCAAACTACCC